TTTGATATGTACGAACTCGTGAGGAGATGAGGAATCTATTCATGTGAATTTTATTGAATTCTGAGACGTGGTCCCAGGGGTCGGGTTTTGGTAATTTTGGGATTTAAGTTGTAAGTTGATTATTTTTGTTTGGGCTTCGTTCCCTTAGCATATTTTGACGTCGTGATTCTGATTTTGGTTAGATTCGATGCGAGTGGAGGCCGATTCGAGGGGCAAAGGCGTCGTGGGCTAGATTTGGACTAGATTGATGTGAGTAATGATTGTTAATGATGTCCTGAGGGTATGAAACCCCCGATTTGCACATCGTTGTGCTATGTTGAGTTGATGCACAACTTGATGACGAGTGTGGGGTCGTGCACTATTGGAGATTGTGACTTAGTCCATCCTGAATGACTATTTCACCGTGTATTTGAATTAAAACTATTTGCTATCATCATGTTTTGGGCTGAATGCCATATTTGGGCCTCGTGCCAACTATCTGAACCCTTAGAGGATTTTATTGATATTTCCTCACTGTTTTCACTTTATACTTGAACTCGGTCATGCTATATTCTACTGTTTTTCATAACTCATCCATGTTTACTCTACTTTAACACTTAAATTATTTTAAATGATATTTTGGGCTGAGCATTATGTTTTACTGTTGCTCGAGTAGCTGTGAGGTTCTGACTAAGTAAGACCGAGGGCCTATGTTGTGAGGAAACACTGATTAGGATTATAAGGCCGAGGACCTGAGATTTATACGCCACGAGATGGCTTGTTGATATAAGGCCGAGAGCCTAGTGATGATGCCACGAGATGGCTTGATATTGAGATTGGGCCGTAAGGGGTCCCTCCAGGAGTCTGCACACCCCTAGTGAGTGTAGGTACCCATTGTGATGTGAGATATAGCCCGAGGGGCTGGTATTGTTCTGAGATATTGCCCGAGGGGCGGATTTGTTGATATTGTGTCCGAGGGGTGAACCTTTTTATGTTTATCTTTCTTATTTGCCTGTCATTTACCTCTTTAATTGTTGAATAGGAATTTCATGAAGTTAAATTGAACTTATATGATTTTACATATATTTACTAAATCACTATTTTTACCTCTTTTACTGCTTCATTATAGCCTGTAATGTGCCTTACATGTTTTCATATCTCTCAGTCATTTATTTATGATTATTACTCATTGAGTTGGAGTACTCACTTTACTCCTTGCACCCCGTGTGCAGATTCAGGCGTTGCTGATACTGCTAGCGTGAGTTGAGAGCTCCCGGTAGACTTCGGAATCCACGAGGTAGTTGCTTGGCGTCTGCAGTCCCATGTTTCTCCCCTTTTATCTCATTTCTATCTCTTTATCAGTTATTTTGTTATAGTTAGTAGGATTTTCAGTCTTGAGTTAGGATTGATAGATGCTCATGACTAGTGACATCCCGGTATCAGGCTGTGTTGGGTTGTATTCCGCAAATTGTTTGTATTGTCACTGCTTACTTTTGGATTTATATCATGTTTAAGACTAAACGCTTATTGTTTAATTTCTTAAAAAGGAATTGGAAATGTGTCGGCTGGCCTTATCTTCATGAGAGGCGATATCACGACCGGGTCTGAGTTTAGGGTCGTGACAGTTGGTGAGAAGGTTTTGTTGAAGGTTTCGCCCATGAAGGGTGTTATGAGGTTTGGGAAGAAGGGTAAATTGAGTCCTCAGTTCATTGGGCCTTTTGAGGTGCTTCAAAGGATTGGGGAGGTGGCTTATGAGCTTGCCTTGCCACCCAGCCTGTCGAGTGTGCATCCGACATTTCACGTTTCTATGCTCCGGAAGTATATTGGGGATTCGTCTCATGTTCTGAATTTTAGCACGGTTCAGTTGGATGGTGATTTGACTTATGACATGGAGCTAGCAGCTATTTTGCAGTGTCAGGTTCGAAAGTTGAGATCAAAGGATATAGCTTCGGTGAAAGTGCAGTGGAGAGGTCAGCCCATGGAGGAGGCTACCTGGGAGACCAAACGGGAGATGCGGAGCAAATATCCTCACTTGTTTGAGGCTTCAGATATGTTTCTTGACTCATTCAAGAATGAACATTTGTTTAAGAGGGGGAGGATGTGACGACCCGGCCAGTCGTCTCATGAGTTACCGCTCAGTTTCCCCCATTTATGCTTCTTATTGCTTTGTTTATTGGTTCCATGTGTGACCAGGTTGGTTGGCTCAGGTTCGAAAAGGTTTTGAGAAGGTTTGAGAAACTTAGTCTCTTTTAAGGAAGCTTAAGTTGGAAAAGTCAACCAGATGTTGACTTATGTGTTAAAGGGCTTGGATGTGTGTTCTGATGGTTCAGATAGTTTCACGAGGTGATTTGGGACTTAGGAGCATGATCAGAATGCATTTTGGAGGTCCGGAGTAGATTTAGGGTTGAATTGGCAAAGTTGAAATTTTGGCGTTTTCCTGCTGATAGGTGAGATTTAGATATATGGGTTGGAGTGGAATTCCGAGAGTTTCAATAGTTCCGTTGTGTCATTTGGGATGTGTGTGCAAAATTTTAGGTCATTCGGACGTGGTTTGGTTTACTTTTTGATCAAAAGCGTAATTTAGAAGATTTTGGAAACTTAGGCTTGAATCTGATGTGTTTTGGTTGATTCGATGTTGTTTGAGGTGTTTTGAAGATTGGTACCTGTTTGGATGGTGGTATGTGACTTGTTTATGCTTTTGGTTGAGGTCCCGGGGGCCTCGAGGGTGATTTCGGATGGTTGGCGGAAAGAATGGAAAATTGAGATGGCAGCTGAAGTTGAAGTCTGCTGACATAACCGCATCTGTGGTTGGGAGGCCGCAAGTGTGACCCCCGAAAATGCGGAAAAGAAGTCGCAGAAGAGGAAAGAGGCTAGGAAGGTTGTGACCACAGAAGCGGTTGGGTAACCACACCTGCGATGGCGTAGGTGCGGAGTGAGCATCGCAGATGCGGGAAGTTGGGACATAAGTGAAAAACCGTAGAAGCGGTTTATGGACTGCAAAAGTGGAACCGCATGAGCAGAATTTTGACTGCAGATGCGAAATACTTGGGCTAGAAGTCATAAATTATTTCCTTTGTGATTTTTGAGCTATTCCGCCATTTCTAAGTTGGCTTTAGAGCTTTTTGGGGGATTTTGAAGAGGGATTCAAGGGTTATCGTCTGGAGGTAAGATTTTTGTGTCTAATAATCGATCCTATGGTATTATTTAACAGATTAGAGCTATAATTAATGGAATTTAAAGGTTAAAATTGGGAAACTAGGGCTTGGTATTGGAGACCTAGACTTGAGGATTTGAGGGACCATTTGTGGTTGGATTTTGGGACTTTTGATATGTATGAACTTGTGGGGAGATAAGGAAACTATTGATGTAAAATTTATCGAATTCCGAGACGTGGGCCAGGGTGTTGGGTTTTGGTAATTTCGGGATGTATGTGTAAATTGATTATTTTCGCTTGGGCTTCGTTCCCTTAGTATAATTTGACGCCACGATTATGATTGTGGAAAGATTCGACGTGAGTGGAGGCCGATTCGAGGGGCAAAGGCATCGTGGCCTAGAGTTTGGATAGGATTGAGGTGAGTAATAATTGTAAATGTTGTCCTGCGGGTATGAAACCCCGGATTTCCATATCATGGTGCTGTATTGAGGTGACGCATACGCTAGATGACGAGCGTGGGGTCATGCACTGTTGGGGATTGTGACTTAGTCCGTCCCGAATGACTATTTTACCGCGTATTTGACTGAAAACTTTTTGCTATCATCATGTTTTGGGTTGAATGCCATATTTGGGTCTCGTGCCAACTATTTGAACCCTTAGGGGATTTTTACTGATATTTCCTCAATGTTTTGACTTTATACTTGTAGTCAGTCATGCTATATTCTATCATTTTCATAATTCAGCCATGTTTACTCTGCTTTAACACTTAAAATGATATTTTAAATGATATTTTGGGCTGAGCATCATGTTTTACTGTTGCCTGAGTGGCTTATGAGATTCTGACTGAGTAAGGTCGAGGGCCTGTGTTGTGAGGAAACACTAATTATGATTATGAGGCTGAGGGCCTGAGATTGGTACGCAACGAGGTGGCTTGTTGATATGAGGCCGAGAGCCTAGTGATGATGCCACGAGATGGCTTGATATTGCGCTTGGGCCGTAAGGGGCCCCTCTAGGAGTCTGCACACCCCCAGTGAGCACGGGTTCCCATTGTGATGTGAGATATAGCCCGAAGGGCTGGTTGTTGTTCCATGTGTTGCCCGAGGGGTTGATTCTATTGGTATTGTGCCTGAGGAGCATTTCTTTATGTGTTTATCTTTTCTAGTTGCCTGTCTTTTACTTGCTTAACTTTATAAAAAGGTATTTTTAAGAAGTTTAAACTGAACTAAAGTGACTTTGCATATTTTCACTGTTTCACTATTTTTACTTGCTTTTATTGCTTCTTTTATAGTCTATTGATATGCCTTTACATGGTTTCTTATTACTCACTCTGCATTTATTATTATTACTCGCTGAGTTGGAGTACTGACTTTACTCCCTGCACCCCGTGTGCAGATTCAGGCGCTTCAGGTCCCGCTAGCAAGTGTTGATCCTTCTAGCTCAGGCAGATTCAGAGATTCTCTAGGTAGCTGCCAGCGTTCGCAGCACAAAGCTTCTTCCCTTATCTTATTTTCCCTGTTTTAGCTTTGTGTCAGACTATATAGACTTTCCTTGTCTTTATTCGGATTGTAGATGCTCATGACTGGTGACACCCCGATATCGGGCTATGTTGGTTTTAAATTCCGCGAATTGCACTGTCACTACTTATTTTGGGATTTTATCATGTTTAAGAATTAATTGTATTCTCTTAATTGCTTAAAAGGGATTTGGGAATGTGTCGGATGACTTTGTCTTCACAAGAGGCACCATCACGACTGGGTTCGGGTTTAGGGTCATGACAATTAATGATTTTCCGGCCTATGCAAATTTATCTAGATGGAGTACAAAAGGAAAATTATCTTGCCCATGTTGCAACAAAGAAACATCCTCAATGAGGTTAGAAAATGGTAAAAAGCAGTGTTATATGGGTCATAGACACTTTCTTCCTCTTAATCACAAATGGAGAAATGATAAACAGTCATTTGATGGCACTAAGGAGCGAAGACTACCACCCAATATTTTATCGGGTGAGGATATACTTGATCAAGTGGCTGACTTAGATGGTTTACCACTAACAAAGGATCCAAAGAAGAAGCCTAAAATATCACATGAGAGTAGGGGTGATAATTGGAATAAGAAGAGTATTTTCTTTGATCTTTCCTATTGGAAAACTCTATTGTTGCGACATAATTTAGATGTGATGCATATTGAGAAAAATGTATGTGAAAATATTTTGGGGACAATCTTAAATGTCAAAGGAAAAACTAAAGATACCATAAAAGCTCGATTGGATTTGCAAGCAAAGAACATAAGGAAAGAATTGCATCCAATTAAAAATGGGGAAAAATATGAGCTACCGACAACATATTATACGTTATCTCCTTACGAGAAGAACATATTTTTAAGATTCCTAAAGAACTTAAAGGTTCCAGATGGATATTCATCAAATATATCTCAATGTGTCAACACTGAAGATTGTAAAATTTCAGGCATAAAAAGTCATGATTGTCATGTTCTTCTACAACATTTACTTCTACTTGCTATACGTGGTATGCTTTGCAAATCTGTATGTGAACCTCTTCTTGAGTTGTCTTTATTTTTCAACTTGCTTGGAGCAAAATATTTAAGAATGGAAGAGTTAGAACAAAGAACAGCTCAAATTCCTATAACTCTGTGCAAGTTAGAAAAGGTATTCCCTCCTTCATTTTTTGATGTGATGGTGCACTTGCCGATCCATTTAGCTAATGAGACTATGATTGCTGGAACTATTCAATATAGATGGATGTATCCAGTGGAGCGATGGCTATACATTTTGAAATCTTTAGTTGGTAATAGGGCTTTCTCAAAAGGTTCTATCGCGGAGGGATATTTGGCAACTGAATGTTTAACTTTATGTTCAAGGTATTTGCATACAATGGAAACAAAATTTAATCGTCTTGAGCAGAATTATGATGGTGGTATTATTAAATCTGATGGAGGTTTAACAGTTTTTGTCAACCTGGAAAAGAATTAAGAGCTGGAAATATAGACAAACTTAATCTAGATGAATTAGAGCAAGCACATATTTTTATTTTGAAGAATTGTGATGAAATTCAACCATTTTTCGAGTAAGTATTGACTCGACATAATAATTTTATTATATTTTATCCATGATTTCAATTAAAAGGACATGTTATTCTTTAATATTTTGTAGAAATTTTTCACAAATTCCAGGTGATACCTCTCAAAAACATTCTAATAAGGAGTTCATTAGCTGGTTTAAAAAAAAGGTTAGTACAAGTTATATACTATTGTTATTTTTCTAACCATAATATTATATAGTATTTGCTAATTAAATTATATAATTGATTTTGATAGGTTGTAGAATTGTACAAATGTGATAACAGTAAGAAAATGGAAGATTTGCTCACTTTGTCACGTGGTCCCCTGCCATATGTGAGACGTCTTAAAGGTTATGTTACTGATGGATATAGGTTTCATGTGGAAGATTATGACAGGGGTTTGAGGACTCAAAACTACGGGGTGATTGTAGTTGGTGAGACAGATGACGAGAATAAAAATATTGATTATTATGGAGAACTTACTGTGATTTTTGAATTGCAATTTATTGGAGGCAAAAGAGTGATCTTGTTTAGATGTATGTGGTTTGATCTGTATGACCAAGAAAAGAGAGTTAAAATGGATGAATATGGCTTTGTGAGTGTTAGCTGTCAGCGGTTACTGAAAACTAATGAGCCATTTGTATTAGCAAACCAAGCATTACAAGTATTTTATGTCGACGATCCTTCAAATAAAGGCTGGCATGTTGCAAGAAAAGTTCTACCTCATGATACTTTTGACATTTTACAAGAAAAGGATGATGATTTGGAGAATTTGGATAATTCTACACAAATGAAAAGGAAAAGAACTGATGAAGTTTTTTGACCTTTATCATGCATGTTGTCATACCTCCTTTTTCTACCCCCGGAAGGGTATAAAGGGAGATTTTTCCAATTTAAGTGACAATCGAAACGAGATTATTTATTTATTGATCAGAGTCGCCACTTGAGATAATTTATGGTGTCCCAAGTCACCGGTTCAAATCCCGAATCGAGGAAATATTGACTCTGTTTTACAGTCCATGAACACAGAAATTCGGGTAAGAAATTCTGTTAACCCGAGAGAAGGTGTTAGGCATTCCCAGGTTTCGTGGTTTTATCACGGTCGTTCAACTGTTATTATTGGCCTATTTATTTGATTTTAAAACATCTTTGAACCGTATATGCATTTTTATTCCTTTTAAACCGCTTTTAATAATCCAATTGTTATACAACTAATTATATGATTACACATTGCGAATAATGTCACGGGAACCGTATCCACGATCCACAACGTGTTTAATTATTTAACAAAATTAAATTATAGTCAGGTCACATAAATGTACCCTCGGATTTTAGAATTGTGTATCACAACTACGTCATGGGAATCGTACCCGTAGCTATGCTACTTTATTTAATTAACGAGCCTAAAGTAAACTACGAGAGTTCAAGGCATTCTTCTACATTGGTGAGGATATTGTTGTGAGGGCCATAGACTAGGTGATTGGATGGTACACCTCAATTTTATTAAAGGGAAAAGCATTTAACTACGGATGTTCATATTTAAAACCAATTCGAAATTAAGTATCACAACTATGTCACAGGAACCGTACCCGTAGTTATGACGATTTATTTAATTATCGCACCTAAAATAAAATATGATATTGTTAATTATTCTATGGAGAAAAATTCTATATGTTAGATTTAAGGAAAAAAACTAACACGAAAGAAATAAGAATTGCCGACTTGACGATACGAAATCCAAGTATCAGAAATTAGGTTGCTAAGGTTAGGTAGAGATATTTTGTTACCCTACTTTATTTGATCCCTGTTGTGTTTTATTCTGCTCAAACTCACAGATAAAATAATAGTCAATTATACATATAGGGATTCACTTTAACACCCCTATCTGTACGTAGTTGGAAAGGCCAATTAATTATGGACCCATTCACTTTCCTTTGATTCATTCACATAACCTAATCTAGATCTTACAATATCTGAACATGATTTAATTTTTAAGGACTAGTTGTACCCCATTTCCCATGACCCATTTCAAACAACTTAACCAAACTAAATAAAGATGATGACACAACTAACAAATAACTTTCCAAAGACACCTGGTATCAGTAAGCTTATAAACACAGGTAACAAAATGAATAACAGAGAGCAATAAAAAGAAAAATTGGCTAGCATTATGATACAAAAACCATGATGTCCCTTGTACCCCCCATTCTCTGTCTGCTACAAAATTCTAACGTTTAAAAATGAAAAACCATTAATGCAAAACATGGCCAAATAATATTGGAATATGCATCCAAAATATTTGACTGATTAAACCATAGAAGGGAACAACAACGCATATAACTCAAAGTGAACAGGCGGTTTCTCTTGATTAAGAATCTAAGTGACTAAAGAAAAACTCCCTTGAAATTCATCACATGTTTGAGCTAAGTGAAAAAAGGAAGAATAAGCCAACTAACACAAACCGATTTCGAACAAAATTTCCAACAGGCTACTATACTACTCCTAACAGTTATAATATAGAACCAGCAGGGAATTTGAAGGAGCTAAGGATATTTTAATTAAATACTAGGCAGTTGAGCTTTTCAGAAAAAATAAAATAAACTATAACACAAATATTGATTTAAATAAAAAGTATAAACTTCATATTTCAATTCTTGAGTCATTTACTATCATATTCCTCTTAACAGTACATTCACTAAGCTTCACAGTAAACTTTAATAATTTAATCACAGGCAGAAGCGATGACCATTCGTTTCCTAATCGAGCACATGTTGTTACTTTATTTCAAAACAAAATACTTCATGGAAAAGTTATAACAGATTCTTGTTCAAACTGCTAAAAGGAAAAACAAAAAAAAACACAGGAACAATCACAAAGGCAAAGATGCCAACACCTTAAACTCAACTGAATGGAAATGCTGCTAGGAGATATGACTTAAACAAACACACTCAACACGAGGTAAACTGAGTCAAGAAGAAAATAAATAATGTTTCAAAATTACTAATGGCTTAATCTAGACAATAATTAATTTATTCCACACATGTTCAAACAAAAGAGAGGAAAAGTTTAAAATGAACCTGTTCGGCTAAAATTCTTTAATGTTCTGCTCCAAAATTTAAACTGAGAACGGCAACGCAATTGAGCAGAAAACGCAAGCCAAGCCACGAACCTCGGATGGAAACTCGAATCGGCATCGGAATTCCGAACCCAAACACATCCAACTTAAACTTCAATCATACTCCATTCTTGAGAACCAGAAACAAAAAAAATGCTGAAATTTTGGTAATTTTTCTGATTTCTTTTGAAATGAAATAAACCTCGAACAAAATCAAACTCAGACTATATATTTTTTTTTATTTTTGTTTCTGAAAATGCAATCTAAACCTGAAGAATCTAAAGAAAAGGACTCAAAGAAACCTAGAACCTTTTACCTCCCCAATTCCTTTTCGAAAATCTCTCTTGAACCCCTTCACACAAGGAAAAATCTCACCTTATACAGACCCTCCGAAAAATTCTCGAAGCTTCTGCCCAAAACCCCCACCTGAAATTCCTTTTCAAACCCTTTCTATGAATGATTTTTGGGATAAATAGAGGGCGAGGATTGATTTTCATCCATCCACGACCCCCATTTATCCAGTAAATCGATCGAGAGGCACAAAAAATCTGGAAGGAATATTCTAATTGTCAGAGGCCGTTACACCATGTGGCAGGGGGAGCGCGTGAGGCGAGTTTGGGTTCACTCGCCTGAATTTTGGCGAGTTTGGGAATGAATTCAGGTGAGGAAGATAGTGAATAGGGTAAGCGTCGCTTCTAAGTTTGGAAATTAGGGTATGATTTTTTTGGGGAAAATTTTATAAGGAGCTTAAATAGTAAGGGGGAAAACGGGGCGGGTAAGTGATGGGCCAGACGGGTTTTGAGTATTTAAGCTGGGGAAGTTTGGGCAATTAGGTGGGGTTTGGGCTTAGCAATCAGTTGGCCCAATTGGAATTAAAACAGCCTTTTTCACTTTCCACTTTTCTTTTTGTTTTTCTATTCTTTTTTTAATTAATAAAATCCTAAAATTAACACCTAAATTAATCTAAGCTGTAAAATTAAATTAATTGCCTAGTCACAATAAGTATAACATTATTTAGTCCTAAATCAAAAGGAAAAATCTATAGACTAAAATTAAAAGGTGTAAAATGAGCTATTTTGTGATTTTCGTTTTTAATAAAAGAAATAATTACTAATTAATTCCAAAAAATGTAAAATCAAACCTAAATGCAATGCATGGTATTTTTTATATTTTTTTATTTTTAATGGAAATTAAATATGCACAAAAATTCAAATAATTAGTAAAATTGTACAAAAAATCCTATAAAATTGCAAAAATTGGAAAAATTATTTTCTTATATTTTATGGGAATAATTCATATAAGGGAAAAATCATGTACTCACAACTGCCCCTCTTTGCTCGGAAACCCGAAGAGTTTTTGTGCAAAGATACAGTGAGCGGATACGAGCGATTTTTGCCCGTTTGAATACTCCGTGGGAAGCATTTTTTGAAAGATTTGACCGCACCTTGCTTCCGAGGTTGCCTACATATCCTTGGCTATAAAGGAATCATGTCAGTGTAGTTCTGGAAAATGATGGAGAGATGAGTTGGAGAGTCGAGTGAGGTGTCGTTCGGCCGAAGTTCCGGTCCGTGGTCCTGTTATTACATCAAAAAAATGAAAGACACTAACTAAGCCTGTCAGCTACAAGTTACAAGATTCCTATCTATGAGTCTTCTAACTTGAACTTGCAGTTTCTGCGGCTTCGTTGACTCGCAGTCTCCAGGTGAGCTTCCTTTGTTGCTGACTTGAATTGCATTCTAAAGTGAATTCCCTTATTCTCCAGGTAGGTGCCTGATTGCCAATGCTCGAACTGTCTTCCTTTGAAACTTGGACTACCTTCCCTTGTTCTCCAAGTGGGCTCCTGATTGCTGACCCTGAACTGTTTTCTCCTTGAACATTGAACTGCCTCCTTTGCAACTTGAACTACTTTCCTTGTTCTCCATGTGGGTGCTTGATTGCCAAAACATGAACTGTTTTCCCTTGCTTTCCAGGTGGGCGCCTGATTGCCAAAACTTTAACTGTATTCCCTTGGTCTCCAGGTGGGCGCCTGATTGCTAAAACTTTAACTGTATTCCCTTGCTCTCTATGTGGGCCTGATTGCCAAAACATGAACTGTATTCCCTTGCTCTCTATGTGGGCGCCTGATTACCAAAACTTTAGCTGTATTCCCTAGCTCTCCACGTGGGTGCCTGATTACCAAAACATGAATTGTATTCCCTTTATTACCTTAAACTGTTTTCCATTGAAACCTGTGTTGTCTTCCTTTGAAACTTGAACTGCTTTCTTTATTCTCCAGGTGAGCGCCTGATTGCCAAAATTTTAACTGTACTCCCTTGCTCTCCAGTGGGCGCCTGATTGCCAAAACTTTAACTATATTCCTCGAAACTTGACTTGTTTTCCCTTATTCTCCAGGTGGGTGCCTGATTTCCAATATCTATACTGCTTTTCTTTGAAACTTGACTTGCTTCTCCTTATTCTCCAGGTTGGTGCTTAATTACCAACACTTGCACTGTTTTTCCTTGAGACTTGAATTGCTCCTCCTTGTTCTCCAGGTGGGTGCCTGACTTCCAACACTTGTACTACTTTTCCCTCGAAACTTGACTTGTTTCCCTTGTTCTCCAGGTGGGCTCCTGATTGCTGAACTTGAACCGCCTTCCTTTGGATATTGCTGCTTTCCCTTTGTTCTCCAGATAGGTGTCTGACTACCAACATTTGAATTGTATTCCTTT